GATAATGGGACAATTTCACCGGACACCGTGTTTGAAGTCTTCTCTTGAGGTACGGAAAGGAAATTTATTTATTGCTATAAATGAAATCGAAATTTAAATAAGTTTCTGATGTATTCCAATAACGTTCTTAAGAAACTTCGCATAGCCGTTCTTTATTTAGTGTTTCTCAGAAAATTAAAATGAAATACGAGCTTATTTTTCATCAACGTAAATAAATGATCCGGGAACGAAACTTTTATAACGGAAAATATATTTCGTTCTTAATTCAATAACACGACGTAAAGAACTCGAAACATTCGCGACATAAAAAGTAATCTTGAAAATATCTCATTACGTTTTTATTACGTACGTAAAAAGCAGGACATTTCTTTTCGAACGTACGAGAATAGGGGCGCGTGAAATTTAAATAAAAAAAAAATCTCACCGGGGCTATCCGACCGGCATCAGATTTGCTTCCTTAAACCCGGATCAGGCTAAAAATTACCGTACCCTTTTCCGGGTGTGTACTCCCAACATCCGACAGGGCACAGGGTACGCTGAAAGGAGGCCTTTCACGGCCTCTTAAACTTTTCGGTCTCCGTATAATTGTTAAACAAAAGTTATGCTCGTATAAAAATTAATGTTAGAACAAGGCTACGCTGTTGTGTTATGAGAATTTATTTATTTATTTTTTATTGCTCTTGTAGGCAGTCGAGCATACGGCCCACCTCATGGTGAGTGGTTACCGTCGCCCATCGACTTCAGCAATGCCAGGGGCAAAGCCAAGCCGCTGCCTACCGTTGAGTGCTTTCCACAAGCCTCGTTTAAAGAATGACAAGTCATAGCGCTCGGGAAACACCGCGGAGGGGAGCTCATTCCAAAGCAGGATGGTACATGTCAAAGAGAAGCTTAAATAGCCTCTCAAGGCTATCAGCATAGGTAGGGAAAAAAAAGATCTCTGGAAACGCACTGTGGATGAACGCAGTGGCTTCAGGTAGTATAAATGAACTCTACTCCGATGGCGGGCGGTGCGATAGTAAAAACGAGATGATGGAATCATCTCAAACAACTCCTTTGTTTTATGTTTTACATATTCCTGTATATTAGTATATTTCTTGCGAAACTAAATGAAGACAAATTGCCACTGATACTTCGAGGTACCTCGCAACAAATCTCGTATACATTTCGGAATGACTTGATTATATACGTTGGAAAAACAGTCATAAAATAACAATAAAATACATACAGAAAGACAAAATCGAGAACAGTTGTTACAGTCGTTTGTACATACGTCATGTGGGCGAAGGGGCGTAATTCGTATCAAAACAAATACAAACCCTCTTGGACTGCTAATCGCTCCGAGTGATTTTGATGTTATAAACGAAAAATGAACGAACTATAATTATGTTTAGAATAAAACGAAACTGCCGTATTCTATTTAGGTTTTCTTTTATTGTACAGACGGGTTAATGAACTCACGGCCTGTCTTGTGTTACGTCATTTTTGGAGCCAATAGACGTCACGAAGTGAAGGTCACGACCTTCATATAACTGTAACTCAATTTCGTGACGCAAGGGGTTTCAACGACCGGTTTTACTTATTAGGAATCACTAGATGATGGCCGTTTTTTTGAAGTGAAACTTCCTTATCGGCGTTGGAAAAAAATTTACCGTCACATTTTTCGGTTACGCGTCACTTTTTTCCGTTACGCGCCATCTGTTTTGTATTCATGTCTATGATAATAAAATCCTTTTGTTTAAACTTTATCTAATTTAACTTTTTTGTATTCATGTCTATGATAATAAAATCCTTTTGTTTAAACTTTATCTAATTTAACTTT